ATTCGGCGCGGCCGTTTCGATGCGAAACGTTTCGGCGCCAATCGATGGTCGTTATCAACGTACAGTCCTGTAGCGCCCGTTTGATTCTGTATGATTAGACCATGGTCATGTAAAATTTGACTTAGCAAATGAGAAGTTCTCTGTGAGCACAATGTGAAACTTCTGTCAAACTAATGAATTCGGAAGGTTATAAGATTTCGTTCATAATCAGAAGTTCATTATTTATATATTAATATCTCCCAAAATAACAACAAAACAAAGCGTGTCAAATTAATTGCGAAATTGTCAAATTTTTTTACAAAATTATATTTGTTTAAACTTTAAAGTCAGCCTTTCATAGAAGAACAACAAGCTGATGCACGAAGCAGCTTTATTTATATAGCATAATAAGTACTGACCAGTTGTAATATCGAACCCACATTGTTACATATAAATGAGAAGCTCTCCGTTAGCGCCGAGTTGGGAATGTCACACACGTCGGTATGGAAGCTAATTGGTGGGCTCCATAAAGTTCAGAAGGGCCAAAAAACTTGCTACCGGTCATCAACCGCCAGTAAAGTTGAAGAAATATCGGGATGCGAATGAAAGAATACAATCAGTTGTGACTGACTATCATAAAAGAGGTATTCTTAATATCGTCCTGGGTTAGCGAATAAGTACGAAATAGCGCAATGATGTTATATGTTGCATATAAATTTTGCTATATAAACAAAGTTGCTTTGTACATCAGCATGTTGTTCATCTATTAAAAGCTGACTTTAATGTTTAAACAAATTTAAATTGTTTTATTTAAATTTAAAATAAGTGGGCAATTTAGCAACGAATTTGACAGATGCTCTGCTTTTGTTTTTTTTTGTTTTTGGGAGATATTAATATATAAATAATGATGAAAGAAATCTTAGAACCTTCGGAATTTATTAGTTTGACAAAAGTTTCACATTGTGCTAACGGAGAGCTTCTCATAGATATATAACTTGCTAGGTCGGATAGTACATTTGATGGAGATGACCACGGTTCAATCATATAGAATGAAACGCGCGCCACAGGACTGCACGTTGATAACGACTATCGATCGGCGCCGAAACGGCCCGCGCCAAATCGGCCCTCTCCTTCGTGAGCATGTCTAACACATTGCAGTTGTGATCGTTTGATTCTGAGAAGAAACTGCTCACAAGCAAGAGTAACTAAGATTGCGGTGTTCCGAAGTTTGTCGAATTTCGCTTCGCCAAGAGTCTTTGGGCTGAACTCGTATATGCAAGTTGTGTCCGGGATAGTACTCTTTTGATCAGTATTCAGCACTTATGACCATAAGTGAGGGGATTTGCGTTATCAGACTTGAAAAGTGATTACTTCGCAATATTGCTCAGTGCTTTTTCATCGCCACAGACTCTTTTACCTTTCACATTACAGTGCTCGCTTTGCTGACTCATGATTTTGTTTTCACACCATGCCTGCCATCATTCATGAAGGGTGCTCCAAAACTACTAGAACTTTGTTTGTTCCAGATACGCCTAACTTAACCTATAAAGCACAATGGATGGCCTTTGTGTAGAGTGCAATAGCCTCATTTTAGCCAGATTGGTTTTCATTCTCGTATCATCGCATGCTGTCGTACACGGCCATTAACCTATGATGCG